AATCCAATCCATCTTATCTGATCCAAACCATATTGTCCCATCTTATTCTACCCCACACAATCCAATCCACCCAGCCCAATCCATCAATTCATTTGTTTCTGCGCCTGCGGCGGGCCAATCCAACACATCTTCCAATCCATTTCTTCCAATCCAACCCATCTTATCTGATCCAATCCATCTTATCCCATCCAATCCAATCCACCCAACCCAATCCATCAATTCATTTTTGTCGGCGCCTGCGGTGGGCTTTCTTATCCAATCCAGCTTATACTGTCCAATCCATCTGATCAATCTTGTCCAATCCACGCCGCACCCATCACCCATCGTCACTGCCATCATTGTGGTGGAGGGGGAGACAGATATATTTGTGTATATATATACAGAAAGAGAGAGAGAGAGAGAGAGAGAGAGAGAGAGAGCGAGAGAAGGAGAGGGAGAGACAGGTATTACCTAGTATGCGATGGGTGTCTCGTGGTTGTCTTGTGATTGTCCTGATGGCTGTCTGGTGGTTGTGCCGATGGTTGTCCTGTGGTTGTCCGACAACATTTTTTTTTTCGGCGCCTGCGGTGGGCTTTCTCATTTTGCTTTTGAGGTCGATAGTGGGATCGACAGTGACCTTCACCGATAGGTCGGTCGACGGATAGGTAGATAGTGGGATTTCATCGTCATCGCGATCATCATTGTAGTGGAGGGAGACTCTGATAGAGACGGATAGAGAGAAAGAGAGAGAGAGAGAGAGAGGGCGAGATAGCGAGACAGAGAGAGAGAGAGAGAGACAGAGAAAGAGAGAGAGAGAAATAGAGAGAGAGAGAGAGAGAGAGAGAGAGAGAGAAAGAGAGAGAGAGAGAGAAAAAGAGAGAGATGAGATCAAGGTGACAGGCTGTCAGTCAGGGGGGGCATTTGATCACAATCCCCCCAACCTCCTTATCGCCCGCAGGGCGGTCGTATAGGTAGGGCTATAGGCAGATATAGAGCTATAGGGCTATAGGGCTATCGGAGATTGGGGGGTGAGATCGCAGTGAAACGGAGACCCCCCTCCGGGAAATCGTTTTCGGTTTCGCGTTCGTGTCGTGCGTGCGGGCGAGGCAAATCTGCGCGTGATCCTCCTGTAGCTAGGCCGACATAGGAGCGAAAGTCCGTTTCCCGTCCGCCGGTGGCCGGGAGGTGTCCCAATTGGGCCGGGCGGTGTCCCGGGTGTCCGGGGCGTCCCGGCGCTAACTCATGTCGCTAATTTCATAATTCATTTTTTTTCGGCTCCTGCGGCGGTCTTTCTTATCAGATCCAGCTTATCTTATCCAATCCATCGTACAATCCAATCCATCTTATCTTATCCAAACCATCTTGTCCAATCTTATCTTAGCCCACCCAAGCCAACCCACCCCAATCCATCAATTCATTTGCTTCTGCGCCTGCGGCGGGCCAATCCAATCCATCTTATCTTATCCAATCCATTTCTTCCAATCCAACCCGTCTTATCTGATCCAATCCATCTTATCCCATCCAATCCAATCCACCCAACCCAATTCATCGATTCATTTTTGTTGGCGCCTGTGGTGGGCTTTCTTATCCATTCCAGCTTCTCTTATCCAATCCATCTCATCAATCTTGTCCAATCCACCGCCGCACCCATCACCCATCGTCACTGCCATCATTGTGGTGGAGGGGGAGACTGTATGTATGTATATATATATATATATACATATATATATAGAGAGAGAGAGAGAGAGAGAGAGAGAGAGAGAGAGAGAGAGAGAGAGAGAGAGAGAGAGAGAGAGAGAGAGAGAGAGAGAGAGAGAGAGAGAGAGAGAGAGAGACAGAGAGAGAGAGAGAGAGAGAGAAAAAAAGAGCGAGAGAGAGAAAGCATGCCGCTCAGCGGCTAGCAAACCCTGGAGGCGAGTCGTGCTTTTTCGTGATGTTGCAATCTTGTCGCAACGTCGGATGTCGGGGATCTTGTGTGACCGTTCTTTTCTTGCCCAGGTAATGGTCGTTACCTAGGGCCGGGGGTCGGGCGGGAAGGTTTAGGGTGGCGGCGGCCGCGGCGTAGCTCCGTCAGGGTGCGTCCGCGCCACCGGCGCATCAATCGCCTGTGCACCCTCAACATGTGTGGGGGGGGGTCGAGGTCACCTCCCCTCAGCGGCGGTACCCCCACAAGACCTAGGACCCCCGCGGCGGCTCACATGGACCAAGACCAAAATCGGCATCAACATACCGCGACATCTTGGCCATGGTTTCCGTGTTTCTTGCCTCGTCTATGGGCCCTACTTGGAAGGCTCGGAGCTTGCAAGTTCGAACCGAGGCGCTGCCCTCTGCAGGGTTATTCCGGGGCCTCGCAGGGGGCCTGGGAACATGAGTGCCGCCTCCATAGGTTTAGGAGGCGCAGGAAGAGGGGGGGCGGGCTGAGGCAGGACAGAGAATAACGACATCGAGGGGGTAACGGGGGGGGAAGCAGGAGGCGCGGGACGAGAAGTGATAACGTAGCCCTAGAAGTAGTAGTAGTAGTACTACTAGTAGTAGTAGTAGTAGTAGTAGTAGTAGTAGTAGTAGTAGTAGTAGTCGTAGTCGTAGTCGTAGTCGTAGTCGTAGTAGTCGTAGTAGTCGTAGTAGTCGTAGTAGTAGTCGTAGAAGTAGTAGTAGTAGTAGTAGTAGTAGTAGTAGTAGTAGTAGTAGTAGTAGTAGTAGTAGTAGTAGTAGTAGTAGTAGTAGTGTAGTAGTAGTAGTAGTAGTAGTAGTAGTAGTAGTAGTAGTAGTAGTAGTAGTATAGTAGTAGTAGTAGTAGTAGTAGTATAGTAGTAGTAGTAGTAGTAGTAGTAGTAGTAGTAGTAGTAGTAGTAGTAGTAGTAGTAGTAGTAGTAGTAGTATAGTAGTAGTAGTAGTAGTAGTAGTAGTAGTAGTAGTAGTAGTAGTAGCAGTAGCAGTAGCAGCAGTAGTAATCATAATCGTAGTAGGTAGTAGTAGTAGTAGTAGTAGTAGTAGTAGTAGTAGTAGTAGTGGTGGTAGTAGTAGTAGTAGTAGTAGTAGTAGTAATAGTAGTAGTAGTAGTAGTAGTAGTAGTAGTCGTAGTAGTAGTCGTAGTAGTAGTAGTAGTAGTAGTAGTAGTAGTAGTCGTAGTAGTAGTAGTAGTAGTAGTAGTAGTAGTCATAGTAGTGGTAGCCGTACGACTTCGACTAGTATGACGAGGACGACGGCGACGACTACTGCTACTACATGCTATTGGTACTGGTACTTGGACTGGTGCTACTGCTACTGGCCTACTCATACTGCAGCTGGTACTGCTGCTACAGCATCGATTACGATTGCGACGACTATTGGTATCACCATTATTATATTACTGCTACTGCTATTACGACTACTATTTAATATATTGCTACTACGACCATTACCATTACTACAAGGACTATTCAAGCTACTAGGGCTACTCCTACGTCCTACTACGACCTACTACGACCTATCACGGCCTACTGCTACCTACTTCGACCTACGATTGCGACTGTTACTCCTACGTGTACGTCTGTTACTGCTATTGTACCGCGAAAGAAGACTATTACTAGTACCATTTCTACGGCACTTATGAATACTACTACTGCTACGTCTATCACGACGGCCGACGACGACTACGACCACTCTTTACTTCTACTACTACAACTACTACAACTACTACAACTACAACAACAACTACTACTACTATTGCTACTACTAGTACCAACACTACGGCTACGACAACGACAACAACAACAACAACAACTACTACTACTACTACTACTACTACTACTACTACTACGACTACTAATACCACAGCAACTCATCCTTGTACTATCCCTGCTACTACTGCTGCTACTACTACTACTACTACTGCCACTGCCAATGCCACTGCAACTGCCATCGCCTCGGCCATCACCATTACCACCACTACTACTCCTACGACCCTTACAACAACTATCACGACTACTACTACTACTGCTACTACTACTATTGCTACTACTACTACTAATATTACGACTATTATTCTTATTCTTACTACTACTACTACTACTACTACTACTACTGCTACTGCTACTGCTACTGCTACTACTACTGCTACTGCTACCGCCACCAGTGCTAGTACAAGTAGTAGTACTAACACTACTACTGCTGCTGCTGCAACTACTGCTACTGCTACTGCTACTGCTACTGCTACTGCTACTGCTACTGCTACTGCTACTGCTTCTGCTACTGCTACTACTACTACTACTACTACTACTACTACTACTACTACTACTACTACTACTACTACTACTACTACTACTACTACTACTACTACTACTACTACTAGTACTACTAGTACTACTAGTACTACTACTACTGCTACTACTACTACTACTACTACTACTACTACTACTACTACTACTACTACAACTACTCCTCCTACTACTACTACTGCTACTGCTACTAACTACCACTCTTACCATCATTATTATTACTACTACTACTACTGCCACCAAAGTGTGCCCAACACGAATCAAGATGGCAGTTCGTGTGGACACTTTTTCTGGGCGGTCATGCACCCTCAAAAGTTCCCAGGGTTTTCAGGTACCAAGATAACCCTTTACATACTACTTATTGACGGGCCAGCGCGGGCCACAATAACACGCATCCGGCCGCGCGCTGGGCCAGACAAACATGCAACGGGCACACAAACACCCAACGGGCCACACAAACACGCGGTCGCCCCCTCGGGCCGTCGTGGGGCTTTGGTAACCAGGAAGCACACCCTTTTTTGGACTCAGGGAACTCTCATGGATGTACTCTTGCCGGGCTCTTGGGGCCTCTTTGGTGGGGAACGGTCGTGGGTTCAAATTGGTTTTCCCATCTTGGGACTCTCATGGGTTGCTTTTGCGGGCGGACCTCGTGGACCGTCCTAAAGCTCTTTTGGGCCGTCTTGGGGCCCTCTTGGGGTTTGCTTGGACTGGTCTGGGGGGCCTCTCGGGCCGTCGTGGGGTTTCAGGAGCTAGGAAAAGCGGGAAGCCGAACATCGTTGAGACACTTTACGGCAACACGCTACTTTCGCAGGACTAGAACAACTTCTGGCCTCAGGGTGCTCTCTTGAAGGTATATGTGTGGCGCTTTTCTATCCGACGCGCACAATGCCTTGGGCCTCCGAAACAGCTCGCCACCTTATCCGCCCAGAGCATCGCGCCGCTCTGTGCACAATCCTTGGAAATATGCATCGAATTCGGCATATCTGCAGAAACACTTGCGAGCAGCTGGAACAACGGAGGGGAAGCGCACCTAAAGGAAGGTTGGACAGTTGGCCAACGAGAGCACGAAAGGATAGGCGAACAAAGATTAAAGAGGTGCGAGCCCTGTAGATACAGATTGTCCGCCCAGGTCGAACCTGAAGATCCCCTGCGGAGCTAATATAAAATGTACAATTCAAAGGCGTCGCTCATAGCCGTAATGAGTGGCCCAGACAAAGCACAGCAGACTAGAGTCATTCACCAGCAGTCTTCATCGTGAGTTGCAGTGATTCACCAGCAACGCCACTATCACACTATTTTGAAGCGCCTCAAGATAAGTGCTTTGAGCGGCAAGCGCACTTACGTTTGACCCACTACACTTAGGACAGCTGCGTCGACAGTACAACCGAATACATCAGCACCAACATTCTCGTTGTCATTACCACGGCTTCTTTGAGTACTGTGCGACAGCGTCAGCCCGACGGGGGTACATGAACTCTTCATGTCACAAAAATGCGGCTGGGCTCCAAGCCCCTTGTGCCAGGCTACCTACAGGGTTAGAAAATCCCTTGGGGAGTTTTCCCGTTGATTGTGATTTAAAAAGGCACGCGACGCACCTGATTGAGAATGCACGCGTGAAAGGGAGGCATCATTCTGGCCTTGTGCAGTTCCCATTGAATGATACTTCAGACGCTCCAGCATGATGATTATTCAAGTCCTGAGGCAAGACAAGACAGTCAACTGCCAGAAAGGAGCTGGCGCGGTGGAACCTGACCACACATGCACATACGCACATTTCGAAACAAATAACAACATATCGCTTGGCAGAAAGTCCTTGGAACCCAAGGCTGGCCTCACCAAGGACGCGTGGCGCAACAAGTGTCACCAGTTGCGCTCCCTGTCGTAGATCTGCAGCGTTGAGAAAATATCCATACGCACAAGGGAAGCAAGGACATCCCAGCTGGTCCTACACCACAGCCGTTCATGCAGGACCAGCGATTTCAGGGACGCCTCGCCATCTACCCTTCATGCCTCACCGAGAGTACGTCACGAAATAGAATAGGAATAGGCCCACGATGTAGAGCCACTTCCACACGGTGGACATGTCCAACCGCTTGCTGAAAATGTAAAACCCTGCGTCGCTCTGGGCGATGTACTGCACCACGTTCTGGAGCTTCTCCGCCCGCTTCCAGTCGAACGCCCGTGGCCCAGAGATCACCATGTTGACGAGGGCGGGGGCCTTCTTGCACCTCTCGGTGACCTGCGCCGCCCGATAGCAGCTGTAGAAGGTGAGCACGAGCTTCGGCAGCACGGGGAGCAGGTCGTTACGCACCCTGTGCTTCATCGTGAAGTCTTCGCGCCTAGTCGTGAAAATCGTGTCCGCCCCGACGAGCAATAAAGACAGCAACACCGATGTGAGGATGGCCACGAAGCTCAATTCCATGGTAGTTGCCGCGTTTCTCAGGAATGCCTGCACCACGCTCCACTTCCGCGTGCAATTTGTGCCGTCCAGCCCACGGAACAGCTCCCAGTAGAACTGGTCGACCAGCCAGCCGAGCCCGCAGCAGAGGTGCAAGTGGCAGTAGACCAGCGCCGCGAAGAGTCCGCTGGTGAACAAGAAGACGGGGAAGTTGTGCAGCGCCAGGATGCCGGGCTGCCCTCCGTCCTCCATCCTGGGAAATTTCTTGTGGTCCGCGAACATGAGCCACATTCGCACAGCCACTTCCAGGCAGAAGAAGCCAGCTACCACAAAGAAGCTCCGGAAGGAGTCTCTCTGCCACTCCTCGAGGATACCGTACCTGCTGGCTATCATCTCCAGGGGGCGGTCAGCACATCGGCCCAGGAGGCGGTGAATGCCCTTGCGCCGCATGGAGTTGAGGCTGATGAGGCAGCCGATCGCCACGCACATGTCCATGAGCGAGGCGTATGTGGACTCTCCGTCCCCACTGTCTGTCCACGGCGACCACGGAGTAACCAACGCGCTGTAGATGACTATGCAGGCGGTCACCAAGCACACCATGTTGCTGTAGCGCTGGCCGGCTAGGCCCTGCCGCCACCGCAGTATGCCGAAGACGTAGAGCAGCCTCTGCGGACCCCTGTCGAAGCGATAGACCGCGCCTCGTCTGGTGGAGTATGTCGACTCTGGCGTCTGCGTCCTCACATTGTTTGCCTCGTCCGTTGGCACGTACTCCCCCTCGATGATGAACGCTTCCTGCTTCTGCCGGAGGGCCTCCATGTCTTGCACATTCTCGGGCGTCCCCAGGCTGTCTACTCTGTGCCCCGCGGACTTGCACACGACGGCCTCCTCGCTGTCCTTGTGCGAGTCCGTCGTCCTGTAGATGTCAAGCCTGTCCATCACGTGGCTCAACGATGACCTCCTCTTTGGGTTCTTCTGTGCCGCCGGCTCCGTCGTGGCCCCTGGGAGCTGTCGGATGCTTGCGACCTCCTGCTCGAGCGCGTGCGGCAGCCCATTGCCTTCTGGAGCTCTCTTCGTGCGGTCCGCGGGGTCGCTGGCCTCGCTGCGAGACGCGCTGACAAAGCCGCCGTCCTCGTCGTCGGCCGGGTCGGGCGCCGTGTCCCCCGAGAGCTTCCTCCCGAGCGCCTGTGGCTGCGTGCAGTAGGTGGCCCAAGAACGGGAAGAGGCCTTCGACTTCCGGAAGGGGCTGGACGGCCCTCCCGTGAGGTAGTCCCTGGCGGTTGTGATGGGTGATGGGTTCCTGTTTTGCCTATGTCGCGGCTTCGCCGTGGTGTCAAGTCCGTCGAACCCCGAGTCGAAACCGTTGCCGGGAAGCGCCATCCCATTGAAGTTGCGCCGCCGATCGCTTTCCCCAGCCTCGGTGAGCATGGCCTTCTGGGCGCTGCCCGACGCGCTGGACGTACCCTCCACGCGGGCTCCCCGCCACGCGGATACGCAACAGCTGTTGCTTTCGCAACCCTCTTTCATCAAGAAATCGATATACATGTCGTCCAAATTTTCGAAACTCATCACTCGGTCTCCGCTAACGTCCTTGCCCTTTCCACTCCTGCTGTTGGGCCCCATCCTGGGCTCCCACTCGGGGACCATCGCCAGCGAGAACGGCTGCGGCTCGGTGATGGCGCGCTGTGCTCCAGACCTCGGGCTCCCCGAGCTCCGGCACCTTGGTCCGACGGGCTGCGGCGACTTCGGGAGCGCCTGATCGTCCCTGCGGCCCAAGACCTCCTCCAGCCTGGCGGTGAGCGTCTCCTGCTCGCTCCGGATGACCTCCAGCAGCTCCCGGAGCTCCCCGAGGCCCTCCGACACGGCCTGCCGCACGGCGTGCTCTCGGATCTGCTGCGGCGTCTGCAGCAGCGGCAGCGTGCGGCGGGACGGCTCGGAGGAGAAGCGGGCGGGGTCTGTCGGGGACCTGCCGAAGATCGCCTCGCCGGCCGCAGTGGAGTCCATCGTGCCCTCGCGGCGCGGCAGCTCTGTCTTCGGGGCGCGTGGCCTGGGCGCCTCCGCGGGGGGGCTGCACGCCTCGGCCTCGGGGGCGAGGGGCGGCGCTCGGGCGGGGCAGCTCGCCGCAGAACTCGGCGGGAGCGCGCCCGGGTCCCGCGTCGCCATCGCCGTCGCGAGCGAAGGGTCGCCCTCGAGGGGCGTTGCCGTTGCGCTGAGCCCCGCCGCGGTGTCCGCTGCAGGCTCCGTGTCTGGTGGCCACTGTGCCGCGCCGCTCGCCGCCGAAGGCGAGGACGCGGAGAGGCGCGCCGTGCGGATGGCAGCAGGCGGCGGTGGCGGATCCGCCTGCGCAGAGGTGCCGCCTCCCACGCCCGCGGGAGCGGCCATCCTTGGGTGGCCAAAGTATATCTTTGCGGCGCTCTTGGGGCGTCTTGAGGGCCTCTCAAACAGTGCTCAGGCCATTTTGCTTCGATGGCAGTCTTGAGCCGTCCCCGGACAAGCTGTGGAACCATCATCGGCTTTCTCTCTCCCTCTCTCTCTTTCTCTCTCTCTCTTTGCATTTTGTTTCGATGGCAGTCTTGAGCCGTCCCAGACGAGCTGTGGAACCATCATCGGCTTTCCTCTGTGGACATGCGACCACCGCGCACAGCAAGGGGCCAGAAGGCGCTGCCACTCCCACGGAGATGCCTGGTGGTTGCCCCCTTCGGGCCCCTGGCCCCAGCCCGCGGATGCATGCATCGTACCTGTATGCGGACACAGACACACACACATATATATATATAGATATTAAATATACAAAGAGAGAGAGAGAGAGAGAGAGAGAGAGAGAGAGAGAGAAAGAGAGAGAGAGAGAGAGAGAGAAAAAAAGAGATATCCACCGGCTCCCTAGCGGGCCCATCAGGCTGCGAGGCTCAGGCTTGGCGCTCCCTGCTCCAATGGCAGGTTCGGCTTCCCATGGTGATAGTGTCACTTTCTGCTTCCCACTGTCCCTTGTTTCTGTCCGCGCGAGGGGGGTAACCCGAAACCGCCCGATTACCGCGCCCGAGTCGTCCTCAGAATGCCTGGGGGGGTGTTGGTCACGTAAAAATACGTGAGGTTCGCGCCCACGTGGCCATCATCCCCCGTCAATCACACAATGTTCGCGTCCCCGAGGCTACAAGGCCTTGTGAATTACAATTGATCCTGCCCGACGACCCACTCACTACTTGGAGGAAGGAGGAGGCCCGGCCCATTTTGTGGCGGGCAATGGGAAGAGTCCGTCTTGGAACCCCGCCCCTCGGCGGGGGGAACCCTGCAGGGTGGGTGGGTGGAAGAAAGGGGGGCAGCAGCAGCCGCTCAAGCCAGACGGCTGCCAGGGAGAAGGAGGGAAGGAGAGAGAGATGCAGGGGGGAAGATAAAGCTGTTAAAACGGGGGCCCCCCATAGCAGGGGCAAATCCTGCCCGACGGCCCACTCACTACTTGGAGGAAGGAGGAGGCCCGCCCAAGTTTGTGGCGGGCGATGGGAAGAGTCTGTCTTGGACCCCCGCCCACACGGACCGTAAGGGCCCCTCCACCCGTCCATTCCCAGACAAAACATTTGCCCTTCATGAAGGCCCCAACTCACGAAGGCATCCGCGGGGCGCACCGACGGTCCCTGGGCGCCCGTGACATTCCGCGGAGCTGAGCCCCGCATTCCAAGGGTGCACGCAGGCGCTATGCCGCGCGCGCAAGACTTTGCTTGGGGCGCAAACCGCTCCTCCGGCGGGCGCACCCGCAAAAAACAAGGTTCGATCCCGGCTCAACTTCAACCCGCCCAAGGGTTTCCCTGGCGTCCCAGTGTCATCCTTAACCTGAAGCAGATCCCCTCTATCCCGATCCACAACGAACATCGTTTAAGGGTGGTAGCAAATCTCCAAACCCTCATCCCGTGCAGTATCCTCCCGGCCCGGGAAGTGGCCCGCCCGATCTGCTGCCGCCGCTCCTGCTCGGAGCCGCCCACGAGCGCCCGTGTTCGCAGCCAGTTCTGTAACCTGGGGCGGGGTGCCTTTCAGTGACATTCCCCGATATCCCGCTCTGCAAATTCCCGCAGGCGCTCGGATAGGACTTCCTCGTTGGGGTCGAAGTCGGCCTCCACGTGGATGGCGTCCTCAGGCGCCTCCCAGCGGACGACCGGCCCCTTCGGCGCCCAGCTGGCCATGAATGCTGTGCCGCAGGGGCGCCCCTTTCATTTCCCTCGTCGCTCAGCCTTGGCGCGGGGCTGCTCCCTGCTCTTGAGGGTACCTGCCCGGGTCCGCGCCGTCCGAGTCGTTGTCTGGATCCGCCGGCGTGCGGAACCCCGCGCGCCGCTCCCAAGAAACGCCTCCCCCCTGTGCTTGTCCTCCTTGGGGGGCCCCGCTTCTCCGATCCGGCTCAGCGCCGGCGCGCGGGCCACCCTTTCCTCTTCGCATCCGAAAGTCATCCCCTCCAGTTGGTCCGGTGTCAGCAAGGCCGCGGGGTGACCTCGGCCGCGGCGAACGGCGACGCTTCGAGGGGGCCCCTGCTCACGCGGTAGTGGAAGCACCCCCGACGGCCCATCCAAGCCGCAAGCGTGTGAACCGGGCCGTCCACGCCTTGACCCGGGGAAGGGTCCTCCCATTCATGAGGCGCGTGCTGGCGCCCCTTCCTGCCACCGAGCATAATGCAACCAGCCCGTCTGGGCGGGCCCGGGGTCCCGCCTTGCCCCCTGCTTGGTCCTGCGCGGGGGGGGGGGCGCCAGGCTTCCCCCCCGAGGGCGTTAGCTGCTGGTGCTCCTGAGACACCGGCCCCCTCCGCTGGGTGGGCTGGGCCCCCTCTTCTCCCGGCGTGCCTCGGCTCATCTGCCTGCCCACCCCCGGGACCTGGGCATCCTTGCTGCGCCCAGGGTCCCCGCTGGGGGCGATGCCCGGGCTTTCCCTCGCTGGGCCTGGCCGTCCCTTGGGAGCTCCTGCTTGCGTTGCTCTGCGGGCGCGGCCTGGGCGTCTACAATTACTCAATATGAATACTACTCTCCCTCTTCCCCTGATGACTGACGTTCTGGGCCCCCCCCCCCCCCCCGCGCGTACTGTTTTTTTACACACAAAATTCCCCGAAGTTGGTTTTTTGCTGGCATTTTTTTCCAAAATGCTGCTCTCGCTGAGGCGCCGGCCTCGTTTTCGGGCCCCGTTCGTTCCGAATCGTGCTCCCGCTGCAGCGCTGGCATCATTTCCGCCGGCGCCCGGGCTGCACGCCCGAGCCGGCGCCCGGGCCGGCGCCCGGGCCGGGTCCGGAGCCGGTTCCGGCCGGCGCCGGAAAATCGAGTTCCGAGGCGGCGCCGAAAAAAGGCCATTCTAATACACATTCTTCTTTTGAAAATGCTGAATTTCTTCTTCCAGCGCGGGAGGCTTCCCGGGCCGATTCCGACGCCCAGGCCGGCGCCCGAGCCGGCGCCCGGGCCGGACGCCCGAGCCGGAGCCGATTCCGGCCGGCGCCGGAAAATCGAGTTCCGAGGCGGCGCCGAAAAAAGGCCATTCCAAAACAATTTTTTCTTTTGAAAATGCTGAATTGCTGCTTCTGGCGTCTGGGAAGCCTTCCCCGGAGTTAGGTTTTCGCTTGCATTTTTTCCCGAAATGCTGCTCTCGCTGAGGCGCCGGCCTCATTTTCGGGCCCCGCTCGTTCCGAATCGTGCTCTCGCTGCAGCGCTTGCCTCATTTCCGTGCTTCCGCTCGTTCCGAATCGTGCTCCCGCTGCAGCGCTGGGCTCATTTCCGCGCTTCCGCTCGTTTCGACTCGTGCTCCCGCTGCAGCGCTGGCGTCATTTCCCGTGCCATGCCACGGCATGCAATGCAATGCTATAGGTTGATACTACGCTTCGCGGTGCTCTTCTACGCCATGCCATGCCGTGCTCTACAATGCATCGCGTACCCTTTCGGGACCATCGCCCTGCTTGACATCCGACTGTGCGAGTAGAGAGGGGCTCTGCGCCATGGTAAAGGACGGGAGGGAGGGGTAGGATGTCAGATACGACGCGAGCGCACCTAGCTTGCCCACCCCCCTCGGCGGGCGGCCGGGGTGGGGCCCCCCAGGGTTCCTGCGGCCCCGGAGGCGTCTGTTCCTTGGACCGCTCTTCCTGTTCCTCCAAACTCTCGCAGGGGGAGTCGTGGGGCGCGCCCCCCGGCCGCCGGCCCGTCGGCTGCCTGGCTTCTTCGGCTTGCCCAAGGGGTGCCCCCCGATCCTCCCGCGACCGGGATTTTCGTTTTCCCCGCGCAGACCAGGATCCTCTCTCAAAATGGCCCAGTCTCCCCGAGTTGGCGCGCCCTCCTCAGGGTGGGTGCCGCGGTCTGCCCCGTGGAAGAGTTCCTGGAATACCTCCGTCAGCGGGCAGTGGGCGCGAAACCTCATCTCGCTGAGCACCCTCCAGCTGATGCTGGGTGGCGAGACGAGCTCCTCCTCCCCGCCCCCTGCCGCACCTGCGGGCCAGGGCGTCTGGCAGCAAGGAGTCTTCTCCTATGTCGCGAATGGCCTTCCCCCATCTGTCCACCGCCCCGGCTTTGGGCGGGCGGCGTGAGGGCCGCGGATCCCACTTCCCAGATCCGCCTCGCTCCAGCTCCCCGGCTTCGGGCCCCCCCCATTGTCCAAGGCCCCTGTGGGCGCCTGCCCCGCCCTCGGCTGGCTGGGGCCAGGGGGTGGGGCCTTGTGCGGGGGCATGTTCAGGGCGACGCCCACGTCTGGGCTTCCCGCAGCCTGCCCGCCACCGGGTGGGGGGATGTGGCCGCTGAGCCCCCGAGCGGTAAGGGGGCTGGGGATCCCCAGCTCCCGCCGCGGCCCCTCCGGCTCTCGGGGGGTGCGGTTGGGGCGCCCAGCCAAGCAGGGGAAGGGCCTTGCGCTGGGCACAAGGGCCCCCGCCACTCGAAGCATGCGGCAATGCGCGGGGTGCGTGGATGCCTATTCCGCGAGGGTTGCGTTTCAGCGCCTGCCCCTGCTGGTGGGGGGCCCTCGTGAAGGGTGCGAAGGTTCCCTCTGCCCGCAAGTTGTGCCCCCCCTCCCAATGGGTCAACCTCCCCCAGCTCCCGCCCGGCGCTCCCCGCCGCGGAGTGGCGGCGCGGGGTCCCGGGGGCTCTCCCTCTTGCCCCGACGTTTGCGCAGGAGCTCCTCGCAGGCTGGGAGGCGCCTGGGCGCGGGCTTCCTGGGGCGGCCCCCGCGGGCGTCCGTGCGATCTCTGCTCCCGACCGGATGTCCGTGTCGCAGAGGTGCGCTTCTGATCCCAGACCTGCAGCCACCGCGGGGGTCTGCCTGCCGAAGGAGGGGCTGTAGTATGCCACCTGCGCTCCAAGCTCCAGGCCACGCAGCCAGGCGGGGTGGCTCACCGGGGGCCCCAGCAGGCGCGGCTCTTCCCCTTCCCCTCCGCCCCGGCAGGGCCCCGGCGAGCTGGCCAGCGGGGCAGGGGGCCCAGCCCTCGCTGGGGCGCGATCCACCCAGCGGCAGTGGGCGACAAAAGGCTCCAACAACTCAAGGGCGCCGGTCGCCTGGGCGAAGACCTCTGGCCT